CTTGGCCAGCTGGACCAGCTTGGTGACAGGGATCCAGTGTCCTTGGTCTCCACTGTGGGCCTCACAGCCTAGCCATGTAAAGGCCCTGAAGACCACTGCCAAAGCCTCCCCGGAAGCCTCCATGGCCTCCTGCGCCTGGGCCCCCCGAGGCCTCCCGCTGCACTGGAGTCGTCTGTCATTTCACGGATTCCCACGGAAGAAACCCTATAGTCTTTAATCAGACTGACAGTGCTTTCCCCTCTAATCATGGATACCTTATGAAGTACTTTATTATCTTTTAACTCTATTTTTTCTTTTGGCCGAAGAGACGTTATGGCTATAACCTCATGTGAAATGGCTAGTTCTAATCTTAAGAAAAATTGGTCTTTAATACCCAAATTATTGTAAACTTTATTTGTTGTTAATAATTTGATCTGTCCTAGTATTTTGGTATCGCACCAGATTCCAGCTTGGGGATGGAAACATATAGTCACATGGCAGAAAAAGTCAGATAATAACACAATATCATTTTGAATTCCTTCCCAACGAAATCATCCCTTTCCCACGTACCAAACATTATTAGTAATAGCTGTAGAGACAAAAGGTCAGACTTGTGAGAAATTGGAATTCCACAGATTTTGTGGGTATAACCAAATCTTATTTCTGGATTTACAATCAGAAAGGGAAACGGGACTCGAATAGGAGTCTTTTTGCAATATTACCTGTTTCTCATTGGCAAAATCTAAATATGGTTTAGGACTTTTTCCAATGCTGGCTAACTGTAAGTCTGACTTAACTAGAAAATGTGGGCTCTTTTTGGTGATCCTGTACAATTCTTTTTATGTGGGCTGTTAATGTACAGTGTCTTAGTTTACAGATCCTATTTATTATTTTCTATAATTGGTGCTTTCCAGAAAATTCCCATAGATTTTTAGCCCTTGTCCCTACTCTAGGGAGTGTTGGTCATTGTCCCATAGAGACTTCAGAGTCCGTCTGTACTAACATTGTGCACAAGCTTTGCTGAGTTAATGTGGACTTTTTTCCACCTCTGACTTGAGAAGTAGTCCTGTATAGTTTGCCTCATGATCTCTTCCTCCATTTTTGCAATGCATAATTCTCCTTTAAAAGAGTTCCTATCCTTTCCTCTCTTCCTGCAATAACATTTCCCTTGTACGTCTTAGTTTTTGAAAGTTAATTCTATCCCTTTATGTCTTTCTTTTTTCCCCTTCCCTGCTGAGCTGCATCCCAGCCCACCTTTTTATTATTATTATTATTGATTGATTGATTGACTGATTGATTGATTTTGAGACAATGTCTTGCTAGATTGCTCAGGCTGGCCTTGAACTTATTATCCTTCTTTTTTTTTTAAATGAAAAATTGTAACAAGCCCTTTACTGTTTCATAAATGCCATGAGAGAAACTGGACAGTTTGTAACGCGAAGTAGAAAATGTTCCCTTTGTCTCCTTCTTCCAGCCCTTCACTGTGTTGAAGAGATGTTGAGTTCTTCCAGAGCTGTGGTTAGCTGGGTGGTCTCCAAACTGAATGGACTCTCCAGGTAGGTAGTTCCTGCTCAGAGTTTTCCTGTTATTGGATCTACAACTCTGCCCACTCTGAAGATGATCTCATCCAGTTCCTGTTTCACATGCTTCGTTTGAGGAACAGGTAAAGCTTTGAGAAGTACAATATCCCCAACAGTGCTTTGCTGAAGGGCATCGTGAGCAAAGTAAGTTTTCTGATTATTGTGTTCACTTTTTTTTTTTTTTGGTACTGGGGATCGAACTTGGGACCTTGTGCTTGCGAGGCAGGCAGAAGCACCACTGAGCTAAATCCCTGGCCCCAGGCTTTCTGATTATTAAAGTACTTTAATAAGTAGGGATCCTGAACAAGTATGGTCACTCTCACTTTAGCAGTTTTTTGCATTGCTGTACCAATCACCTTCCCACTATCCATTTGGCATGGACAAATGACCAAGGTACTGACATTCGGTGGCTTTGATCACCTCAGGGTTCTCAAAGATAAAGTTTTGTTTCTTTGTTTGTTTTTGGTACCGGGGATCGAACTGGGGACCTTGCACTTGCGAGGCAAGGCAGGCGGTGGAACCACTGAGCTAAATCCCCAGGCCTGAACTTGTTATCTTTCTGATTCAGCATCCAAGTAGCTAGGATTGTAGGTGCGTGCTGCCATGCTCAGTTTGAGAATATTGTTTTTTTCTTTACAGGAAATTTAGCTTTTCCTAAAATTTCTCATATACTAGGTGAATCTTCAGCAAAGTCTCTTTCAGTTCTAGTATTTGGCTAATTTTGATAAACTCACCAGAAACATGGTTGGCACTGAAAACTAAAATACGCCTTTGCCTGTCTAATACCTAGAATTTTTCTTTATCTAAAATATACAAAAATAAATAGCTGGCTATGGTGGCACATGCCTGTAATCTCAGCACTCAGGAGGCTGAGGCAGGAGGAACACCTCGAGTTAGAGGCCAACCTGGGCTATATGGTGAGTTCAAGGCAAGCCTGCACTACAAAGCAAGACCCTGTCTCAAAAAACCAAACCAAAATTTAAAAAGTACCAAAATAATAAGAGAATTACTTTATAAGAGTAGTGTATATTTTGAATCTTTCCAAGTATAAAGACTCAGTTTAAGTAAGGTAGGAGGCAAGCAAACAGTCATAACAAAAACATGACAAGTGAGGAGATATAATAATATCACATCCTGTGAGTTAGAGGCCAGCCTGGGCTACACAGTGAGTTATAGTGAGCTTGAACTATATACCAAGACCCTGTCTCAAGAGAAGAAGGAAGAGGAGAAGGAGAAGAATACAGACCCATTAGAGTTTCTTTATTTAGAAGAACAAAAAGTATACATAATAATATCACATCATCATTTGTAATTTCACTAAAACCATCAAGTTTAGCAGTATTCTCATGAATGCAGACATTCATGGCGTAAAGCACGACACTAACAGGAGATGATTGGAATTAAAGGAGGGAACCAAGAGGACCCTACAGTGTCCTCTCTAAACTCACCCCCATGTCCCTCTGACAGCCTGCCCTGCTACATCTGTCAGCCACAAGTCAGAAGTTTGGCCCCCCTTCAGAGAGAGGAGGCTTTGTGCACATATTTAAAAAACACGCCTACTAACAAAAGAAATATGGCAGACACTGGAATGGTTGTCTACGATAGGGGAGAATAATGAGAATGGAAGCAAAGGTAACAGATGAAGCGAGGGAGGGGAGGATGAGGGGTGGGTGGGAAAGAAGGTGAGCAAGAGACCCTTTGTATTCCAGAGACGACAGTGAATGAGGTGGGTATTTAATTGTCTGCACTGGAGTGAGAAAGAAGAGTTCGGTATGCATCTTGGTCTTCTTTACACACTCCCGTAGCATACAACCTTTACACTTTACCTTTTTTTTTTTTTGTATTTTTTGCCTGGCTGGAATCTTATGTTTATCTACAATGAAGTTTTCTCTCTTCACTATGTATCTTGGAGAGTTTTTTAAATGACACTATGAATACAAAAGTCAGTCTTATTCTTTCTATTACTGCACATTAACCCATGATGTGGATATACCAACATGTATTTTATTGCTTCCCTACTGTTACAGCCTATGTTGAGATGTCCCCCCAAAGTTTCATGCGGTCACAGGTGGGGCTTTTCAGAAGTGGCTGAATCTAGAGTGTGGGATGCTGGGATTAAGGGTGTGTGATTACTAAATTGGTCCTCTCATTGGTCTGGCACCCCTCTAATTCTGGTAGTCTGGATACAATGTAAGGGACAGAAAGAGGCTTGTCTTACCTCTCTTGTTTGCTTTGCTGCCTTCTGCCCACCATGAACTTTTCTCCTCTTGGACGCCCCTCTGTCACCCCACCCTGCCTTGGAGCCAGCCGACTATGGACTGAAATCTCTACAAACTGTGAGCTAAATAAACCTTTCCCCCTTTAACTTTGTGTGTTGGGTATTTTGTCTCATCTACCAGCGAAAAGTAACTAAAACGCCTATTGATGAACATTCAGGTTGCTTTTACTTTTCTTTTCTTTCCTTTCCCTTTCTCTCTGGTTGGCTGGGTGTCTCTCTCACTGTATGAATATCCACAGTTGTACCTTCTCTTATTTTGTCTTCCGTGGAGTTTAAGACTGGAGGACAGGGGACATCCAAGATGGATTCTGCTGCAGGCAGAGGCTATAATTCAAGGCCAGACTGGGTTACTGGGGTGGATTTGCTATTCCTTCAGCCTCCTGTCCCTGCTTAGTCATGTGGGGAAGTGATGTTCTCAGGAAAGGCCGTGGTCCTTGCCCTCAGAGGCCTCATGTACAGCATGGGAGCAGCACAGCACAGGATGAGGGGAGGCCTCCCAAGTTCAGCCAACTGCCTGGGTGTTCATCCCACCCACCACTCGCTAGACTTGACGTTGCCCATGTTATTTCACCTCCTGATGCCTCAGTTTCCCCACCTCTGAGATGAGTCCCTTTTCTTACAGGGTTGCTTGGAGACATAAAGAAAATGATGGTCATAGTGCTGAGCACAGTTCCTGGCACACAGTGACCTACCGGTGCTGAACTGTTAGGAGACTAACCGGGCTGGGGCCATGCTAATCAGATGGGGCCATGGGCTCCGTGGGGCCTGAGGTCCTCCTACATGAAGAGCAGAGCCCCGGAGGATGGGCAGCATTCCCTGGGTGGAGCTAGGTTAGGCTTTTTAGGACCTGGAAAGGTAGAAGTAAAAGTGCTGGGCCGGAAGTGGGAGGCATCCTGGAGGGTGGGGAGCAGCTGCCTGTGGCTGGAAGGTCATGTTCATCGGCCAGGGGAGGAAAGGCCTTTCTGGGATGTTCCCAGGCCATCTTCTGGCATGGAGGATGGGGGTCCCGGGCCCTCTGTGGGCTTGAGCCCCTAAGCTGAAGCCACGGGACCACCACAGTAGGGTCTTCAGAGTCAGCCATGGCCCAGGGTGCACCCTTTCCACCCACCCTCCTGTCTCCCTCAGCATGGGCTCCTCCCACCATCTGGTCACTCCCAGCATCCATCACCCCCACCCCTCAGCCTGACTGGGAGGCGGGTGGAGGCTTCTCGCGGGGGCTGTGCCGGGTGGGCAGTTTTCCCAGAGCAAGGAGCAAAGCAGGACTGAGTTGGCGCCAACTTCCTCAGAAGTGGACGTTGCCGGCTGGATGGCCAGCCTGCCCCAGCTACCCTGAGCCCAAGAGCTCCCTCAGCCACCGTGGTTCTGCTGCGGGGCTACACCCCTGTACCCCAGGGGAGTGGCATGTCACACAGGGAGGCCCGAGGGACACCAGCGATGCCAAGAGTGGAGCACGGCCGGGCTAAGGCCAAAGCGCGGCTGCTGCCAGGCACTGATAGGAAGAGGCGCCGCCTCAGCAGGACAAGGCAAGACCTGTGGGAAGAAAGCAGCTGGAGTGACCAAAGATGGAGCAGAGCTGCCCCTGGCCCTGGAGAGGCCAGGGCCAGGGGCCCAGCTTGTGGCAGGGTAAGGAAATCCTGGGCCAGCAGAGGGAGCAGGGGAGGCAGGGGCTGGAGGGCCATGAGATGCCTTCCTTCAGGATTACTGCTGCTCCTCAAATGGAACACAGTCCCTAAGCCTGCACAGTGCTATGCTGGGGGTGGCGGGCATGAATCAGAGTTGGTCTCAACCAGAGCACAGCTCGGAGAGCTGGCCCAGCTCCTCTGGAGGAAACTGAGGCTGGAGGAGGGGTGTGCATTGCCCACGGCCCCCAAGCTGCGCCCGGCAGCAGGGCCAGAACCTGGCCTGTTCCTTTGCCCTATGGCTCAGGGTCCTTTCCCCAGCAGTCTCTTCGTCTCGGAACCTCCTGGGTCAAGGTTCTGTGCTACTCAGCACAGTGAGGCTGTGTTTCCCACGGCCCCAAGGCAAAGCAGGGCTCAGACGTGGGAGTGGGACAGGCATTAGTGGAGTAGCAGAGGGAACCCAGGACTCAGGTTCTGAGCCAGGCTTTGCCACCCTGCTGCCATCTGACCCCAGCCCAGGCCTTGCCGCAGCTGCAACCAGAGCAGGGTGGGAACCACAAAGATGGGCTGAGGCCCTTCAGTGCTGCTTCTCCAGTGGGAGACTGGGCAGCAGGATGCTCTTTGAAGGCAGGTTCAGATGGGGCCCGGGGCAGACCCACTCAAGGGGGGTCCTCTGTGCAGGGCGAGGCCAGTCCTGAGAACGCGGCGCGGGAGCGCAGCCGAGTGAGGACCCTACGCCAGGCCTTCCTGGCCCTGCAAGCCACTCTGCCTGCCGTGCCACCAGACACCAAGCTCTCCAAGCTGGATGTGCTGGTGCTGGCCACCAGCTACATTGCCCACCTCACTCGCACACTCGGCCATGAGTTGCCCAGCCCCGCCTGGCCACCTTTCCTGCGTGGGCTCCGCTACCTGCATCCTCTCAAGGTAGGGCTTGGGCCCAGGTACTTGGGTGAGGGAATCTTCATCCCCAGGGCCTCGGGGAAGGGAGTGGGGACACTGGGTCAGCCCTGTCCTGCCCAGAGCTGAGTCGGGGTCAGTTTCTTCCTGCTCTCTCAGAGAGAAGAGCTAAGGCTGGTTCTTGGGGTGGGGCTGATCCCGTGTTTCTCACAGGGTGAGACAATGGCTTCATGGGAATGCAGTTTCTCCAAAAGGAGGGAAAAACAGGTGTTCTTAGTGTCAGAGGACGAAGAAGGAGCAGGTTCCAGGGCTGGGGCCTGGGCAATGAAGGGCACCCAGGAGGGTCCCCAGTGGCCAAGTGGCTTCACCTCCTGGCACTGCGCCCACCTCCCATCCAGGACACCCGTGCAGGACAGATCCGGCCTCCAGGAGAACAGCGAGCCAAGGAGGCAGCAGAGTGGGGGGCAGCAGTGCAGGGTGGGGGCTTCCAGCACACACTGCTCACCGCTGTCTCCTGGCTTTCCTGGACCTTAGCTTCGATGATGCAAAAATGGAAGCTGATAGGAACTGTCTAAGGAACAACGGTCACAATTACAACCACGGCCCACCTGCTTAGGTGCTAAAGCTATGCCAGGAGCCGACCTAAGCACTTTAGTGCATCTTTTCTTGGGGTGCTGGGGATCACACCAGGGCCCTCATGGATGCTAGGCAAGTGTTCCACTCCAATGTGCTTTCATCTCTTGATCCGCGCAAGAACCACATACAGATTGCTTTACAGATGAGGAGATGGAACTGTAGAGTAGTCAAGTGTCTGAATTCGGGTTGAGCTCACTGATCAGGTCAAGAGTGCCCTCAGCGGTAAAGGAAGGGCCATCTTTGCCAAAATATTGTAAAGGGAGTCAATTTTGTTTTTGTAGAAGACATTTTTCACTAACTCTCTCCTCTAAATAGCATCGTTAGGAAATATCTTAAAGCTTAAGGGTTTTTTTTTTCTTTTTTTCGGGTAAAGCTAAAATGTACAATTCTGAGACTAAATGGGACAACTCTGAAATGCTGACAGTGGCACCTGGGGGACATAGCAAAACCCTTAGTTGTATTGGTGACCAAGGCCCTTACATGCAGTAACGACTGATAAATATGTTCAAGAGCGAACAAAGGAAGCTGTCCTCTAGAACTCTGGCAGATTGGTGAGGTGGGGTAGCTAGCCAGGGAGTGGTGCCCTCCATCCCCAGGGAGAGGGACTGCTGGACAGGAGGGAAGAGTTGGGGCAGAGTCAACCTGGCATGTGCTGGACCTGCACCTTGAAGGAGGCCACTCCTTGGAGGAGCCCAGATGGGAGATTTTCCTGCCTCCACTGTTCAGCCCATTGTCCAGCCCCTGGCTGGGGCCAGCTCTCCCCGGGGCACCTGGCCTCCTGCTCACCTCCCTCTCAGCCAAAATCTGATCCTCGTGGGGCCTCTGCTGTGCCTCTCAGCCAGGCCCAGGGTGTCAGGAGATCATGCGGCCCACACTTGATAGCCAGGCCACTGCTGTCGGACTGTGACGCTAGGAAAGACGCCAGGAACCCAGGCCTCAGGTGACAGGGCCTCGACCAAGCAAGGCCGCACCGGCTTCTCTACTCACTTTGCATCCTATGTCTTGCAGAAGTGGCCCATGCGGTCTCGTCTGTATGCTGGAGGGCTGGGATGCTCTGGCCTTGACTCCACAACAGCCATCGCCTCTGGCCAAAGAACAAAGGAAGCAGAGGTGGGGTCCCGAGTCTCTGGAGAGGCAGATGTCCTCCTCCTCTCCAACCCACTTGCATCAGCTCTTGGTGACAAATGACCGTCATGCTTATCCCATTCTCCTGCACTTTGACTCTGTTAGGGACCTGGATTCGGTACCAGCCCCTACCTGTCTTCCCTCTGACTCTCGGCCAGTGGATTTAACTCAGGCCCAGCTTCCGAGTTCCAGCAGGCAGACCGAGAGAGGCCGCGGGCACCTCCGTGGTGAAGAGCTCCCAGGAGCACAGGACGGAGACCCTCATCCTTCACGCTGGGAGGGGACGTCACAGTGACTCTTCTGTGACAGCCACAGGAAAGTGGGAAAGGAAAGGGTTAGACTGTGTTCGAATTCAAGTTACGGTGCCTCTCTTTCCTAATCTCCCCTAAGGCTCCCACAAACCCTCTGCACGTAGGGAGGAGACAGAAATGACTGGGCAGGTGCAGGGGGAGGGGCCAGAATGGCAGCAGCCCCAGGTGCTGATGGGAAAGCTAAGTGGGGCCCCTAGGCTCTTGGTAGCTGTGGGAACAGGTCTGGCTGGGGTGGGGTCAAAACAGGCAGAGAGGAAACTGAAGAGGGAACATGCACCATGTTCTACTGCACCACGATTGCTTCCCCAATGTCCAAGAGGCAGTAAGGAATGAAGGATTGTTGTCTTCGATTAGGGTCTCTCCAGCTGCTCCTCATCACTACATTTTTCTCCCTCTCTGGTCCCTGCACATTTTTCCTGCTTTTGTTGACATGAGATATCTACAGGTTAAGCCATGAAGCTCACATTGCTTACATTCCAACTTCCAGAGAAATTTAGATAGCCCCAACTGTCTTGTTTGAAAAGATCTTGTCAGGTTTATTTGGGGCCGGGATTTAGCTTAGCGGTTCTGCCACCTGCCTCACAAGCACAAGGTCCTGAGTTCAATTCCCGGTACCAAAAAAAAAAAAAGAAAAAGAAAAAGAAAAGATCTTGTCCTGGAAGCTGCTCACAGGCACCATTTAAGGCCCTACTTGTGAAGGATATTGATGATGTACTCAATTACATCCCAGAAGAACCTGGAAAGCAGAATGTATATATTTTCCAAGGGGTGGTACTCACAGCCTTCTCCTTCCATTATGTTAGAAACCGAACCTCAAGGCAAACGGAGCCGGGCCTGGGTTTGGTGAGCTTCCGGTGCCGTTACTGCCTGAGGCTTCATTGGCCCTGGAGTTGTTTCTACAGTCAGGCTGGAAATTGGCCCCCAAAGCCAGCTTCTTCCCTCAGATGTTGTCCTCCCAGGTCCTCCCCAAGTCCTGCCAAGAGGTGCCAGAAATGTGAGAGAGCGCTAATGGAATTTGGCCCTGGCCCTGAAGAAATAATTGGAGGACTAATTAACCACAGAGTCTACACACTGAGATGAGCTTTCCAGATCCGGTGTAGTTTCAGAGCTGCTACCTGAGCTCCAGGCAGAGAGGGAATCACCTTTTTTGTTAAATTTCGCCATTCAAGACAGACCAGGGTTACCGTTTGGCACAAGCCGTCCCTGTCATTGTGAGCGTAAAGGAGGTCTGCCCAGGGCGGGCTGGGAGGGCTGAGGTCTGTTCCTCCACAGAACTGGCCAGGGCAGCAGGGGAAAGGGGGGTGCAGGGTGACTCAGCAAGCTGGGGTGGAGGTAGGAAAAGAGACACAGAACGTCCCAGCCCAAGCTAAAGGGTTGTGGGAGAGCAGCTGGCCCATGGCTGGGAGCCATGGGAGAAGGCCCGAGCCAAGGCTGAACTCGTAAATCTGCATGGGACCCTGCAGGGCTTGTGCAGAGCTGCTTCTGGGCAGCTGGACAGGGCCAGGCAGGGGCAGGGCCCAGGTGTGGGAGGGCATGAGCAGCGCTCTTCACAAGACCATAAAAGTCCAGCTTCAATGCTCTATTTTTAAAGCCAAATAGCAGCATCTTCCTGGTGAGCTGGAGGATGGTAACACGAGGGCAGATGAGTTTCCTCCCAATGGGTGGCACATGCCCTCTTTCTGGGGACAAAGGGACTAGCTCTGCCTGTATTGCTGGGGGCCCCCAAGGGGCTGGTGTGCCTCTTGATAACTGAGCAGACCCGCTTTGGAGTTGGCCCTGGCCCACCCTGCTCAGAACCAAGCATCTGTCTCATCATATCTGACCCTGGGGGCGGCCACACCACTCTGGTGGAGAAGACCAGGCGGCCAGAAGAAGGATGGAGCTGGTGGAGGCTGAGGAAAGCAGGGCCCAGCAGAGCAAGTTTCTCAGGGTGCCTCAAGCTCTTTCCAGGCCAAGTTGTTCTTGGTGCCTAGAAAAGTCCTGCGTGACCAGGGGCCAGCTCCTCAAACTGGAGAGAGCCAAGAGGGCTGGCAGAGTGCAGGGGAACACAAAGGAAGGGCCGGGGTGACTGGGAGCACCCAAAAGAGGGACCAGGCCTTGGTCTCCCTGATAAGCTCAGTGCTGCCTGCACTTGAGAAATGACAACTTGGAGCCTGGGGTATACAAACCAACCAAGCCCGGGAGAAACGCCCTTCATCTCCTCAGTGAGAAGAAAAACATGGCTCACTGGGACACTTCTGGTCCCACCAGTCCTGGGGCACCGGTGGGTGGAGCAGCTAGAGGCCGCAGAGGCAGCTCAGAGCCTGGTCCTGGCCAGCTTCTGCCCCTAGGAACACAGGTGTGGAGGAAGGAAGCTCCAGAAGTTACCAGGAGCACGAGTGACAAGTGACAGGAAGGTGGGCTGGCTCAGGAGTTGGAGGAATGGCTGCTCCCCGGGACTTGGTTTACTGTGCTTTCTTGCACTGCCTGTCATGGGACTCTGGGTAGGCAGAGGTGGTTGGTGAGGGGGACATCGCTGTCGCCTCCTTTGGCTTTCTATTTTTTTTTTTTTTTTTTTGGTACCTGGGATCGAACTCGGGTCCTTGCGCTTTCAAGGCAGGTTTCAAAACCACTGAGCTAAATCCCCAGCCCAAAATGCATGATTCTCTTAACCTTGTTTTTTTTTTGGTACCGGGGATCGAACTCGAGGCAGGAGGCAGAACCTCTGAGCTAAATCCCCGGCCCCTCCCTTGGCTTTCTAATACACCGTAGGAGGGCAGGCTGGATGGAGCTTGGGTGGGCTGTGGAGGGGCGGAGCTGGCCAAGTGGTAAATAAGGACTGTGGTGGCCACTGTGGTGTTTACCAAATGGGACAAGAGTATTAGAAATAGAAGATTAAGGTAGTTTCTTCCTTCTCCCTCTAGGAGGAGCCTGGTTAAAATAAATTAGGCAGGAGGCCCTCTTCCTTTTGTGGCACTTGGTTTGTAGTCTTATTCTACTTAGTAGTCCAAATCCAGCTCCCCACCCATCTTTGTAAATAAAGTTTTATTGAAACACAGCCACACTCACTTGTTTAAGTCTTATTTATGGTTGCCTTCCTGATACCAAAGCAGAGTTGAGTAGCTTTGACAGAGACTGAAAAGCCTAAAATATTTGCTACCTGGCCCTTACAAAAAAGGTTTGGGGTCCCCTGCTCTATTGGGTAATTCAAAGGGATCAGGGTATTCAAGCTGTGGTCTGGGAACCCTGGGGTAAGTGACCAAAAGTTTTTTTTTTTAGTTTTAGAGACTGGGTTTTGTTATGTAGTTCAAACTGGCCTTGAATTCACTATGTAGCCCAGGCTGGCCTTGAATGGTGGCAATCCTCCTGCCTCAGCCTCCTGAGTGCTGAGATTACAGGCATGCAACACCACGTCCGGCTTTTCACTCTTTTCTGTCACAAGTATAATGGAATTTCTAGAATCCACATGGTGTATTGTTGCAACAGATAAAATAGAGAAATAGGAGAATCCAGCTGTTAGGAGAGATGTTAAGATATTTGTAAAAATCAAAAACATACCACTCTTCTTGTTAAATATTTTCCAATATGGAAAATAATTATTTTTCATAAAAATATATATTGACATAGAATTGATTTAGTTTGTTACTTTTACATAAATACTTTATTTAACATTTTTATTTATTTATTTAATTTTGGGTACTGGTGATCGAACTCGGGACCTTGCACTTGCAAGGCAGGTGGCGGAACCACTGAGCTAATCCCTGGCTTAAAAAATCTCTATTTTATTTTATTTTATTTATTTATTTGGTACTGGAGATTGAACTCTGGTCCTTGAGCTCGTAAGGCAGGCGGCAGAACCACTGAGCTAAATCCCCAGCCCTAAAATCTCTATTTTAATTTCTATGCAGTAATGATCAATGGTACAACCCACAGAAGCCAGACCTCTCTGGGTTTTTTTGTCTTTTTTGTTTTTTTCCTGGTGCTGAGGATTGAACTCAGGACCTCGTGCTTGCAAGCCAGGCGCTGCGCCACTGTGCTAAATCCCCGCCTCCCGAGCTAAATCCCTGGCCCTCTGTTCTGCTTTTATAGTGTGAAGGAGTTGTGAGACCTAACACTTTCAACACCTGCGCTCCAGAAAGGTTCGGGATAGTCAAGAAAGCTCCCACCCGCCCCTTGTCCCTGTGCCATGACAGCCCTACCCTCTGCCCAGGGCAGGCACAGTGAGGGGCTCTGGCCTTGGAGGGACAGGGGACTTTGGGTGCTGGGAGCTCCTGGCAGTGAGGACAGAGGCCGTACCCCCCGTCACAGTGAGGTCTCTTGGAGGACGAAGGTGGGACTGAGCCCCTCCTGGCTTGGCCCATCTGCAGCCATCGCCCACTTGTCTCCACTGTCCTGCAGCTCCCCATTCCTCAGCTTCTCCGGAAACAGGCTGGTGTCCACGGAGACGTCCTGGGTGGTGCAGAGCATGGCGGGCAATGTGGGCAAGGGACACAAGCAGGAAAGGGAGGGGCCCTGCTGTGCCCTGCTGGAGGGACGGAGCCAGGCCAGGAGGGGCAGTGGGAGGCTGGGAGGAGTGCGGGGCAGGGGCAGGGCCTGGGAGGGCCGAGGGATGGCCAGGCCCCCGTCCCTCCGACCCTAAGCCAGCGCAGCCCACCCTGTGTGTGGAGGCTGCTGTGGGAGATGGTCAGAGAGGGGGACACAGAAGGAGACACTGAAGGGGATCTGGAACGGAAGGGAGGGGATCGTGTGACAAAGGGTCCCACCTGGCTGTGGCTTCTGCAGCAAAGCTGCTTCTGACAGGACAAGGGCAGGAGGGCGAGGAGTCTTGGCAGCACAGGGTAAATGGTCTTAGGGTTCAGGGTCCGGCCCCGCATGCCCCCTGTGGGCAAAGGCGCTTCTGAGTCTGCAGAGCAGTGAGCCCTGTGGACCCCTGTGCCCCAGCCCTGCCCACCTCCTGGATCTCAGCCCGGAAGCCTGGCTGCTCCCAACCCCCTGGGGCTCCCGGAGCAGAGCCCCCAGAAACTCCCTGAGTCCCACCTCAACCCACCAAGGGAGCCAGCAAGTGGCCTCTGAAAGAGAGAGCTTCAGTGAGGAGCCTGAGGTGTGAACACCTGTGTCCTTTTGGGTCTCACCTGCCCCAGCTGTGACAGAGGACAGGGCCTGCTCTGGGCTGTGAGTAGCCTCAGGAGATCCTCAAAAGAGGCAGGAGCTGCCCACCAATGCAGTATTAGTGCTGACAGAAGTGAGATCTCAGAACCTGGGTCATTAAGTATGCTGAGAAGTTATGAAGGGGCAAAGACGGCTGAGTGTTTTAACCTTGGAAAAATTACAAAAAATATGACCCAGGAACCAGAATAGAAACAATTAAAGATGACTGGAAGAAGCAAAACAAGTTGAATAAATCAGGCTGGCCTAAATAACTTGACAGTTATATCAAGGCTGTGGTGGTTCAGAACCTCTGGTCTGGGTCCAAGTTGGATGAAAGTAGCTTCCATGTCACACGTCCCAGAGCACACAGCTCACGGCCTAGTTGCTGGTGGGGCCCCTGGAGCTCTGGGATCCTTGTGAGAATACAGGTCAGTTCTCTAAGGATGCACCCTTTGGGTAGGGCTGGATGACCGAGCCACTGTACCTGAAGCACTGACGGGTGCACACAACTGTTGGGATCTTAAGCACTCCGAGAGGAAGTCCAGTAGCAGAAGCCAGAAGCTGAAGCGCTCAGCCATAACCCCTGGAATGTGGATATAATGGGTTACTTACAATGGGGTTCCATCTAGCTAAACACATCATAAGTTGAAATGATTTAACTGCTTGGGAGCTGAGGCTCAATGTCACCACCTAGCATTGTCAGAGTCTGGTACTGCAGATCACTAGCCCGGGAAAAGATGGAAATTAAAAATGTGTCCAGCCACTGTAAGTCAGGCACTATCTGTAATCAAAAGGATTTGTATCAATAATGATTAGCTGCACATAGTGGTGCATACCGTATAATCCCAGCACTCCAGGAAACTGAACCAGGAGGATCACAAGTTCCAGCTCAGCCTAGGCAATTCAGCAAGGCAGTGAGAACCTGTCTCGAAATAAGGAATAAAAAGGGCTGGGGATGTAGCTCAATATGAAGGCCTTGGGTTCAATCCCCAGTACCAAGGGGAGGGGAGGGAATATGTTAAACCAGTTGTGATGGTAACTCCTGTAATCTCATTACCCAGGAGGCTGAGGCAGGAGGATGATGAGTTCAAACCCAGTGGGGGGGGGGTTAGCTCAGTGGTTCTGCAGCCTGCCTCGCAAGCACAAGGACCCAAGTTCGATCCCCAGTAACAAACAAACAAACAAACCCAGTCTGGGCTACACAGTGAGACTCTGTCTTGAAATCAAAACATCACTAGGCATAGTGGTGCACACCTGTAATCCCAGCGCTCCAGAAGTTGAAGCAGGAAGCTCACTGAAGTTCAAGGTCAGCCTGTGCTACATAGTGAGTTCAAGACCAGCCTGAACTGTGTAGCGAGACCCTGTCTCAACAAAACAAAACAAAAATCAAAACAAAGGAATTTAGCTCAGTGGTTCTGCCGCCTGCCTCTCCAACACCAGGTCCCGAGTTCGATCCCCATTACCAAAAAAATAAAAATCAAAATAAAACATATATTAAAAGATTTAGGGATATAGTCAGTGGTAGACTTCTCACCTGGGATGCAAAGGTCCCAAGTTTGATCCTTAGCACTGACAAAACAAAAACAAACTTCCTGAAGAATGTATTTAAAATCCCCGAAGAGCAATAAGACTAACAATCAAAGAGTAAATGCACTGGAAACTTAACCCAGCGCTTTTCTAAAGAGGATACCCCAATTGCGAAGATGCTCGACTTCTTTAGGAGCTAGGAAATGCTGACTGAAGCCCAGCCGGGCGGTGCAATCCTGTGATCCCTCAAGGCTCCCCCAGGGCACGTTAGGCGCCACCAGTAGCGGGCGCTAGGGGGCGCCCTGGGACGGAGGAGGGAGGCGGGACTTGCTCCGCGCACTGGGTTCAGCGTCCCGGCTTCCTCTGCCTCTCAGAGCCCGCGTTCGCGTTCTTGAGGCCTCTGAAGGACGCCAGCCCCGGCCGACCCTCCTCTGGAGTCTGCGTCCTCCGGCCCTGCCTTTCCTTGCTCCCCCAGCAACAGGGGCTCTGGGCCGCCCTCTTTCCAAGACCTCAGTAAGCCTTCAGAATCCAGTGAATGGCCGAGCTTCTTGTGGCCAGAATCTAGTGTCCGATGCACCACCTCCACCACTTGTGGTCGTCCCACCTGTGGAAGAGCCTGTCTTTGATGTATGCCCCTCCACCTCCTCCTCCGGAAGATCGTGAAGAAGAGGAAGCAGCTGTGGTTGAGCATGGGGACCCTTACGCTGAAGAGGATCCGCAGTGGACTCCAAGGCCTTACTAGGGAAAAGTTGTGGCAATTTATGAGTATGCAAAAGACAAGGAAGATGAGCCATTATTTCAGGAAGGAGCCATTATTTGTCAACAAGAATGACGACGGTTGGTGTGAGGGAGGTATGAGTGGAGCTACAGGCTCTTCCCTGGGAATTGCACTGAAAACTCACCGGGCTGAACCTTCCTTGAGGGAGAATCAGGTCTTCCTGGACTATCAGAAGGCCCTGAGGTTTTCCCTTCAGGGAAGTAAAACGAGGAGTACAAACGATAAAACCATTTATTTTATTTTAATTTATATTCTCCAGTATTAAAACAAAAACAAAAGGGCAAGCCAAGTCTGAACAAATGGATCTTTCTGCCATCATGTGTACTACGCTGAGCTGTCTGGATTGAAACGAAGTGACCATTTGTGAATATGTTAAAGGTATAACGACATAACTATGTAGCTAAAATAAATCAGATTAACACTGAAAATAAAGAAATTGAAAAACAGGGCTGCAATGCAGTTGCAGATCCTTGCCTGGTCAGTTGTCCATGGTGTTTTGGCACCACTGCAGCAATAATCAGGGTCACAGAGATCAGTGTGTGACTTCCTGCCCATCACAAGGACAGCTAGGGCTGCAGCAATCTTTATGAGCTCTGTCTCCCTGGGCGTTTTCTCCCTCTCCTACAGAAGTACATGGGGAAAACAGAAACATTCCTAGAGTCTTTGTGACCAACCAGAGGCCCCTGGCTATGACAATGACCGCCAGTGTACGTGTGTTTAATAATGTTTGGAAAGAGCCAACTCTTTAACCAGATTGTAAATGTATGCGGAAACTGCCTCAGCAAACTAACAAGAAAGTTGTGCACTTTGCAAGAAAAAAAGTTTTGCAATTTGCAAAGAAAATTATATACCGTGAGAGATTTTGGGGGGAGGTGTGGGGGAGAGGTTGGACTAAGCTTACAATAATTCATAAAGATTGGTATATAATTTTCATAACCCAGCTAAGGACACACTTCTGGAGTTCCCACTACTTAAGTCTGTGTCTAAAGAAAGCAGAACACAGACCGCTTATTTTAAAATCTATTTTTATTTACACTTGGAACCAGAATATCCTCTTAAGGTTTTCCTCATGCATAAATTCTACACCGTCCCAAAGCAGACCCTCTGCTCCCCTGACATGGGATCCGGTCAGCCAACTATGGACCGAAACCTCTACAAACTGTGAACTAAAATAACTGTGGTTGTCAGTAATGAGGAAAGTGACTAAGATGCCACCCTGAAACCCCAAGGGGAAGCATCATCAGTGTGTGGAGCCCATCGAGGCGGCGGTGGGCTCGCTGGTGGATCTAGGTGTGTGTTGATGTTAGCCGGGCTGGGACCCAACCTGAACTGCCGCCTCCAGAAACCCCAAGGTGGGAGACACTGGCTGGCCCTGGGCAGGCCAGCCCGGCAGAGGGGCCTGGTGGAGCTGCTCACAGAATAGCGTCCAGGAAGCAGAGTGAGTAGGAGCACTGGGGAAGAGATAAGCCGGCCCACTTCTACCACCAGGTCCCACCTCCTGTGAACCCACGAGGCCCAACCAGCTGTGAACTCATCCAGGGACCAATCCACTGGGGGTTATCATGCTCCCATCCCCGAATCACCTCCCCAAAGTCCCACCGAGGACTTCATCTGTGTCAGAGAACCAAAGGGGGTGCTTCTTTCCATGCATCTCTTTTTACTAGAATAGAAATAAAAATTTCCAGCTGGAAATAGTAGCACACATCTGTAATTCCAGCTACTTGGGAGCCTGAGGCAGGAGGATTGCAAGTTCAAGGCCAGCCTGAGCAATTTAACAGGACCTTATCTCAAAGTAAGAAAGGTTGGGTGATATGGTTTATATCCAGATGTCCCCTAAGATGCACGCCTGGGTGGTGCTTTTGGAAGGTGACTGAATTATGGGGGAGCTACAGCTGACTTTAGGAAGGGGACCTGGGTAGAGGTGGGTCATGGAGTGTGACCTGCCACATCTCCCTCCCCAGCTCCCTCCCTTTCTGCCTCCTCTGCCAGCCCTTTCTGCCAGCCCCTTTCTGCCTAGAGCCAGACAACTATGGACTGAAACCCCTGAAAACCATGAGCCCAAACAAACCTCTCTGCCTTTAGGTCGAAGGTGTCTGGGACTGTGTCCTGGTGACAAGCAGGTAATGAGGACACCAGGGATGAGCTCAGTGGCGGGCTATCCCTGGGTTCCTTCACCAGCACCACAAGAAACAAAGCAAAAAAAATGGACTTCCGAACACACTGCTTCTAATTTATTGGTGTTGTTATTTTTGGGAGGAAACGAGAGATCGAACATAGAGCCTTGCACCTGCTGAGCAGCACCGTTCCCCGGAGCTGGACTCCCAGTCCCCATGCCATTTAAAACAGTGGATACCAGCCGCCAGGCGTGGTGGGGCTTGCCTACAATCCCAGCGAGTCCAGTCCAGCTGGGGCAGCTCAGCCACTTAGCAGGCCTCTGTCTCCAAAATGTTCAAAGGGGCTGGAGATATAGCTCAGTGTGAGGACCTTGGGTTCAGTCCCTAGTACTTGGGGGGGGGGTAATAAATACACTTCATAAGTGATTGTATTAATGATTCCTTGACAGAAGGAAGACTCAGGAAAATTAAAACTAAAAACTCTTTTGGCAAACAATAAGACCCAGAAACCTGAGCAGCCGAACCACATATCCTGGACTGGATGCCATTCTCCAAGAGAACTCATTAGCAAGGCCTGACATTAGCTGCCTTCCACAGGGGAAAATAGGAAACTTTGGAGCCCAAATGTCTGGAAGAAAGTTCTTACAAATAACAGCAAAGGACATATTTATGATTACAAAATGAACCAGAGGATCAGAAAA